GAGAAAAATTGTCACAACATTTTTTATTTTAAACACCCAAGAAAGATCTAAGCGGATTCTTCTAGCGTAGGAGCCATACTTTCAAAAACACTTGGTTAAAAAAAATTCCAACATGGCACTTTATGTTTAAAATGGGGTCAAAGGTCACAGACACATAACAAAGGTCATCTTGAATCTTCATTCACGACGATAAATTTCCACAACATCAGTGAAGAGAGCATGCTCGTTTGATTATTTTGATACCATATGTGCACATATATTCAATAGATTTTAAGTGAAACTGTCCATTTTTGTTGATCACTATCCTGACCACATGAAAGGGCGAATTGTGCCAAAAACTGGCGAGTATTTTTTATTCACTGACGTCTATAAGCACAGCAATTTTTATCAAAATCTGAAGACCTAACGTCTAAAACTTTGTTGATGTGACATGGAATTACTCAAATCTGAAATGAACTTATATTTCGTTGCTACATTATTTTTACCTTCACGTTCCCAGAAAGAAACTTCGACTTCATTTTCAACTCAAGATGATCGACACATTTTTTAATTTATACAATAAGAAATCAATGATGGCCTACTTTCTCAGCTGTAAAATCGGAAATGGTTGTAATATCTTTCATCCCACCATTTAGATCGTACGAGTACCAGGCAGAAAAGCAGATGGTCACTTTTAGTGACCAGTATTCAAACAGCAGAAAAATGGAATTCACGGTTATCAAAACGTTTGCATTCACTTTTCTGTTTACCCGAAAGAAAAAAAAACAGCTTTAGTAAAATCTGCTTTTCTGATATCCAAAAAGCAGAAAGGGAACGAACAGTTGTCAAAACGTTTTATCCACTTTCCTGCTTGTTACAGGCAAAAACCAGATGGCCACTTTTCGGTCTCCAAAGAACAGAGGAAAAGTAAAATCTGCTTTTCTAATAGCGGAAAAGCAGAAAAGTAGAGAAATTCATCACAACAAACTGTTCATTCTACTTTTCAGGTAAAGGAAAAGTCGAAAATTGCATGTTAGAAAGACGTAAAACCCGCTTTTCTTATTCTAATAGCAGAAAAAGCAGACAGCCACTTTTCGTCCTGCATACTGATAAATATAAACTGCTCAGAACAAGAGTATGGGTGTGTGTGGAAATAAGGAATTGACAAACAGAAAACCCGCACTACCAAAGAGGTACAACGAACACTAAATAACTTCTAGCTATTCCTTAAAATTTGAGGTGCCTGATACTGCAGTGTTTAAAGACATCATAAACAAACTCGTAGTGTCGATATGACTTTCCACATTAGTCTTACAGCTATAGAAGGAAAAATTACGTTGCACAACCAGGAAATGCGCAAAAATTGCGTCACATCTTGATTGCACTTTGATGATGTAACAACTTTGATTTGAAACTCAATCCGACCAAACTAAACGAAGAGATTCCTGTCAATCTTCTTGTTGACAAGAGATGACGCGAAGATTGGAAGAGCTCATGCGGATGGACGTCCATTTACCACGAGGGAAGGAACGGGAGCTTCCTCCCCTGAGGGTTGAAGGCTAGGCCCGGTGGATGGGCGGCCGGTAGGATGTGTGGTTGCTATGGAGATCCTTCCGGAAGCAATAACCAACACTTAGGTCAAAGTGGGCAACGCGTTGCAGCCGACGTCAAAGTGTTAAAGTGCAGTTTTTCATGTACGTCCAATTCTGCACAAGATTTGTACATTCAGTTTAAACGTGTATAGATTTAGTTAAAGGGCCAAATTCCACGATGTTTTCATGTTGGATTTGGGTTAAGACCTGTTTAACAATTGCTTTCACATAAAAGAAGGTCATAGGACCAGGCCTGGCTCTATGCAGGTAATCGACAAACGCAGCTTGTGCATAAAATTGCTGACTTTTCACTCTAACCAGCAGTGTATTTAAAATGTCAAAATAGTTCACTCACCACTACAAGTCTGTTTCATCGGGTCATGGTCCATGTACGAAGCTGGCAGGCATACGTCTTTATAAGACAGTAGCAAATTAAAGACCTGATCAGAGTTGAGGACTTGAAAGCAGTTTTTTGTTTGCATAAAAAGTATGTTTAGTGATATGTGGCACTATCTAAATAATGGAACTATAGAGTTAACAAGGCAGCTGTCTATAAAAAGCGTTTTATACTGCGTGGGAAGTTTATTCCACAGTCTATATAAGAAAAACATTTTTAAATTTTACCCGTCATACCAAATGTTTGTCGTCTTTGTTCACAGAACCCAAACTAGAAGTAGTCAAATCAACAGAACAGCCTGTTTAAGTAGCCTATTATGTGATTAGTGGAATTGAAGCCATGGACGTCATAAAAAAGAAGAAAAAAGGACTCGCAATGCCCTTAATCAGCAATGCATTTGGCGCCGGTGTCGTCAATTGGTACAAGAGCATTGCGAGTCCAGCATATCTTTTTATGACGTCCACGGTTTTGGCAGACTAAGCTTACGGGCGGGGTCAGTCATGAGACATGCGCAGTGAGCTGAGCGGGGCTAAAAAGCCCATCGTCTCCAGCGCTTGAAGTATGTACCGCGTCATTAATCACCCAAAGCTGTACGGTGAGATGAGTCAAATAATTCTATAAAAAATACCGACCTCGTTTTTGTGGGAACACCGACACATATTCAAGCAAGTCATGGACGAATAAGGAAGGAAGTACATATGTACCGCATTACTAGTTAAAAGCAAGCTGGAGTTAGGATGTATGTCCTGGTATTAAATACGAAAAAGATGGCACAGACATGCCACATCAGTCTACGCCTATACGTCTATAAAAGCATACCAAAAATGTTTAACCTAACGCCACTATATCATATTTTCGAACTAAAGTCGTGCTTTGAAGTATTCCAAAATTAAGGAACCATTTTTTTTAACTGAAACTTTGACAGGCTCCCCTCGAATAGACTTTTTTCTTTCTGTCGTATACATGTGATGTTAAAATAGGTCCCATTCAATTCGTCTTCGTCAAACTATATTTCAGATTTAAGAAGAATGATATGTTTGTTATACTCGATCAACCAATATATATTTAACATGAATATTTTGATAGGTTAGGCAATTTTCATGGGATAAAACGTTTTTAATTCGTAGAATTCGTAGCTTACTAAAAAAAAACACAGAACAGCTTCATTTCTTTTGTAAAATCATTTCCAAAAAAATGAAATTAACATGGTTTCGTACTGGAAAGGAAAGGTAATGGAAAAAGCAAAGATTATGATTTTCATTCAGAAAATGAGTGGTATTTCATTGAATCACCAAGTGTCAACTACCTTCAGGTTGAACAAACCCTGCGGATGCATGGCAAAACTGTGGCCTCGAAAGCTAGTCTAGTTTCGGAGAATATTCACCCAGGCCTGATGTGTTTTTTTCTATGACCCGCTATTGGTTTCCGCTGACACACTTTCCAACCCGGATCCCGAGGCTTCCTTCCGAGTATTATGAAAGTGTCAAACTTCACAGTGTACAGGTGATTGAATCTGCCATTGGCTATACAGCCCATATTGGGAAGGGGCGTCGTCATGGGTGGGGGTCATTCAAGCACCGCACCTACAAAGGCGGATCCACGCGGCGGGGCAACGGGGGTCATGCATGTCCCCTTAAAGAAAAGGACCATTTTTTTTTTAGAGAGAAATGAAAGACATGCGATGGGAGGTATTCGCCTTCCTTCTGAAATCGTCAAAAAGGCCAGCATATGTGAATAAATAAATAAAACTTTGAAAGGCCAAAAAGGTTACACATAGAGAATCATCCAAACCCCAAAACAATCCCTCCTTGCTTTGGCTACGCCTTTGCCCCCCTCCAAGTATTGGTTTGTCTTCAAAAGCTGCAACGTGAGCTCCCTTGAATTTTACGTTTTATGCCACTCTTATTGCGGAGTCGGAGAGCGGATATCGGCTGGGATAAGTAGCACAAGTGGCCGACCCAAACTCGGGATAACAGACTAAAGTTTGTAGGCCAGTAAAGTAAATTGGCCTAAAATTGCCGGTATGCCCGGACCAAATCACGATAGACTGTCAATTCAGAGCATTTTGTGACACGTGGACTGGACGGTTGTCAAAGGAGGATGGAATCTACCAGCAGGACTGCCAGCTTGTATACTTTTATTAAAAGTATTGGACCAAACGGTTGCTCTATCTGCAATGGTGTGTAGGCATCAATTTTCAAAATGGCAAAGGGCCTCATGACTATTTTGAGGGGTGATTACCTCTGGAGAGAAAGATCTCCAAATGTCATCGCTTCAAGCCACTGAAAAGTGAAAAGAGGATGAAAAATGAAGTGAGCTTTAATTTCTTACGAGTCTTGAGCAACTGAGAAACTTGTATTTTTTTCCTGATTTTTCGAAGCGGGGATATGTATCACTGCTTATTTACTGGTCTGCAACTCTAAACCTGTTGGGACGCCACTACCACGGGTGGCACAACACTCACGCGCGCAAGTTTGTTTACTTGTGGGGCAAATTCGGTCATCTTAAGAAATCAAAACCATGGCCTAAGTGTGTTAATGTACATAGCTCATTTGACAAACTGAACTGTGGAAGTGAGCACGCCAGAGGAGTGAGGCTTATTGCACGAAGCATAACAGATTCACAATGTTGCCGTCAATGGGGGCTCTTATGGAAAATGACAAATAGTTCAGGCGCGCTTCAATGGACGAACACAGAACAACACGATTTTTGTCCTGTAAGGTTCAGTAATGCATGCTCGTGCGATCATTTATGTGGATTGGACGGAAACGCATTGAATTAAGGTAATTTCTGGGGGGGGGGTCAACTAGGGGTTAAACACATTTTTGAAAGAGGTAAATTTTCTGACGGGGGCACTTTAAGTGCCCATATTTCTTTTAAAGAGGACACTAAGAGCAAATGAAATTTGGCTTGTATGCATAGATGTGTACATTTCTGTGTATTTCAAAATTTAAAGGAGGATACCCAGGGTAGAAATTTCCGCTGGGAGGAGACACGTGCCAACTGCTCCCCCCCCCTCCCATACGTCGGTGGTATGAGACCTGCTGTGGTTCAGCCGAATGAAAAATCTTCAATCTTGCAAGCGCACAAAACCTAGAAAACGTGCACACATGGTTATACTCATCATGCCGGTACGGTACGCGGCAAGAAGTGATGTCTAATATTTCATAAATTGCCACAAAACAGACTCGAAACACAACTATACAGAGAGTGAATAGCAGAAGAAATACGCCTTTAAACTGAGACAAATCGGGTTTATCCTAACTATAAGTCGTTAATATTGTTTCGATAATTTTGAACATAGGCGTAATCAACCCGGGGAAGAGTTATATATATCCTCCACTTTCTGAAGTGGGGGGATGGGCTATTGGGTCATCCCGTCACCTTTTGCTGGGAGAAAAAAACTTAATTTTAAAGTGGATTTTTAAGAATTTTTCAAACTTCTAACGACTAAAATAGATTCAGCATCACCCAAAAAGGGAGAAAACAATTTTATAAGCCATAAAGATGCCTTTCTGAATACATATTACAGATGTACATCAATGTCATGAACATCGACCTCTACGTAGAGTCATAAATTATGGTGTCACCCCTCCTCAAACTTTCATGGCCGGGCAAGTCATCCCCCAACTTTCTCCATCCCCCATCCCTCAATTTCCAGCAAACATTTACGTCACTGATTTTGAAACAGTTCTGATGACTCTAACTGAATCGGAGCCTTTGAACTAAAGTGTAAATTGCATTGGGTTCGGCCCATAGCCAGAGCGACATCTGAAACCAAATCGCTCTTTGTCGTTCCGAGCGCCTTCAAGTGTCTATCTTATGCCTACTAGCACGCCTGGTCGCTCCTAATTGTTTCAGACGTCGCACTCTTGCCGTACTTAATTCAAATTTTCTTTTAATTTGGCTCGGCGCGACATTGGAACGCCTGTCTGAAACACGTGTTAATATTTCTATCTCTACTCAAGGCAGGATTAACCAGTAACTATGGCTAGAGCCTGTTAGAAAAAATTCGGTGCTACAAAACATAAGTTAAGGGTCAACAAATATACCACATATTTTGTTCCAAGTTTTAGCGCACTCTCCTTGAATTTTCGAATTTTGGGAAATCTTCAGACGAAAGCTTATAATACACAGCTTCGAATCAACATGAAATGCAAACCTCCAGCACGCACGTACCAGTGCGATGAAACTGGTGCTGGTACCTTGGGCAGAGTGTGTTCCACGGAGCACTGGCGCCTATATAGGGCTATAGAATTAATCGGGCCTAGACTATGCTTTTACAGTACACTTTAAAAGGAAACCGTGTAAACCTGAAAAAGTTCTACTGGGAAATGCCACATTCTAAAATGGAGGTCAATAGAGGAAAACAGAGTTTTAAGTGTCTGACATTGTATCGGTATTCATTTGCCAACAGCACTCGGAATGTTCTTTCCCCACCAATTCAATATTAAATACTGCCCTCGTTAGGGTCCTCCTCAAGTATCATTCCCCGACAGGCTCTCTCCAAGGTCTGGATCTGTTGGGTGATGTTGCGCAAGGTGCCAGACACAAACGTCTGGATGTTGCCGTGCCCTTGTTTCCGACGCTTGAGCCGGTTGAACTCCCGCAGCAGCCGAAGATCGCTCAGGGTGTCCGACAAGGCGGTCCCGAAGTGTTCGTTGGAGAGGGTCATGATCTCCCCCTCCCCAGCTCGCAGATTCTCCAGGACGATCTGCAGCCTGGAGCCAGCCACGTCCGTGCAGGAATAATAGCGTTTAGCCGGCGAGAAGGCTCTCACCGGCAATGACGTCATTGATGAGGTCGCCAACGCCAGACCCAAGAAAAGGCAAAAGGATAGATCCATACTTCTGAAAAGAAAAAAAAAACAGCAGGCAGGAAGTGTAAAGTGTGTTTCATCGACATCTCCTTTGCCTACTTTTCTGACACAACGATAATTTATTAAAGGAAATCGCTGACATAAACATGCTGAAAATACATGTACATGAAATTCTAATCTGGATATAGTGACGGTAAAAGCAGTCACCGTACACTTACAGGAACAGGGGTGCTTTCCAACAGCGAAAACATTGCCAGACCTACCGTAAACGTACATTTTGGCTCTAAACAGAAAAGCTTGTACAGTGCTTGGGGCTGTTACTGTTGGCACCCCAATAATGATAAACCCATATGAGACTCCATGCAACCTGTGAAACTGTAATTGCTCAAACTCTAAGAATAATGCGTTTTGGCCTATACTTGCATTCAAATTACATTGAAGAACATATACAAATAATCATTCCATTAGCAGGAAGAGCACTTGCAAGAGATGTTGACAATGTAGAGCTCTAGTTTGCATTAAAATATTACACATTCTATACCTTAGTGTGCTTTCTAAGAAATTGGTTATGGCCAATAATTGGTTTATAATTCCATGTAGATGTCGAGATTTAGCAGCTTTATCCTGGCTCCGAAGAATGCTTTGGTGTCACGTAGGCCTATAAGGCACTCAGCCCAGCCAGTTAAGGGGATATCTCGAAAAAATATTGCAAAAGTGCCAAACACAGCTTTTTACAACAGTTTATACTTAGAGGTCGTTCACTGGCCGTGTGTAGAGGAATCCCCCAACTTACTTTGCTCAAGAAGCTGTATAGTACCGGAAATTTTCACCTGAAATAGTAGCACACCTTTCATGAATATGCAAATTCTCGACATAAAATCTCAAGAAGCCTCAATCACCGTCGTGGGTGAATAAATAAAAACCGAAAATATGGATGAGTTAGACACAAGACGCATTTGAGAATATCAGTTTTAAAAAACAAATCGCCAGGATCTTCACCATTGGACAGAACTAACTTGAAACTCACTGACAACACTTACTTCTGGAGAGAAGGGTTTTATTTTCTCTTCCGCTCGAGTATAGCCTGTGAAGCCGACAAACCCAAATATCTCCTTTGTTCCAACCGTTCCAACAGTCATCTGCTTCTGTCGTCAAGCTGCGCCGGCCTTTTTAACCATTTTCATCCAATCTTTCCAATCATTTTACAAGCAGCATAAATTTCAAAGCGACGAGGTATCAAATGACGTGTATATCCACGAAAAGAAGATCGATTCCAACCGGTAAGCCCTCTGGACAAACTAAAATAACAAAATTTAATGATGGAGAACCCTTTCTAAAATCTCGGGTCGATTCTACGTGTTTACGTGTTTCGGCCGAAAACTGCTGAATCGAAATATGCAATTTTGGATCACACAATTTATATTTGCTGAATTGTTTCAATTGTCCCATCGGCAAAGTACACGATCCCATATAAAAAGATATCTGTATTTTAGATCCAAATCGATTCCTTGTAAGTGGATCCCTTCGCAGAATTCAATATACGATGGATATGGTTAATCTAATTAAACTCCCTTCGTTTAAATGGCTAGTACACACAAGACGAACAACCTTAACTTACACGGTCCTCGACCAAGCACCTGATATGAAGCAGCGGTGTCTTTTAGGGAACGTTGGGCTACACGACTGTGAACTAAACCGCAGACGCAGATGTACAACGTTATTTTGAATCAGAACACACGGAAGACAGGGATCCAGATGGAGAGCGCAGCGCCAGCTTCAGATTTTGGAAACAAAATGGCTGTTCAGTTTGAGTACAAAAGGGCGTGTGGCTGTTGTATACCAACAGTTCACGTGCACTGGTGCATACACGTGCCAGTTTGTTTCCAACAGTAGTGACCCTCATGTCGCAACTCTAGCGAAGACGCCCTTCCTTGGAAAAGGCGTACAAAACTAAAAGTGGCTAGCTCTCGCTAAAAGTCCACTTATGAACAAAAGACAACCTACCGCCAGACTTATATGACGTGTCATACCGAGAGGTAGCCTCATCCCAAAGAAAGGTCATAAAAGGCTACACAAAGAACCCCCTATAAAAAGAGATTTGGATACGCCCTTGGGTATAACGACCAATAGCTGATTTTTATATCGACAGATGCTAATATGCAGTCATGAAAAGCGTGGCCCGATCGCTATAATTTCCATGTTTAATATTTCCATTTATTTGCTTTTTTTCTGTGCTCATTTGGTGGTTTGCTTCCATGCCTGTCTGTACCAGTTTCCTTCGCATCTATTCTGTTGGACTTGTTATGTTACATTGATCGATCCTCGCCTATACCTCAGATTAAGAGTAAATAACAGGAATTAATCCGTAATTTCTAGAACTTTATGAGTGAGAACGCTCCAATTGTGCATGCCATCCACACTCCGTTGATTTTGCCTGATATCCGGGGTACAGGGTGTTCACAGTTTACCAGGAAAAAACGTACCTGTGGTCGCCTGATGGTTCTTTCTCGAACTTGCCGACTATTGTTGATTTAATCAGACGGGCGCTCCTCGGCTGGAGTAAATGACCGAGCAAGTGGGCAGCGAGCCAGCTAGCAACGGAAGCGTTTCTCGGGAAAGAGTATGATAATCAGTATTCTGTATACCTGAAGTGCGTCGAGGAAACGGAGCAAAAGTGATCGGTTGGTTTTGCCGTTAGTCATTCCACGCATTCTGCAGACAGAGGCGGTGGTTTCTGATCAGGGCTCTGAATCTCACTGACTGGACTTCGTTGGCAAGAGATTTACGAGCACCAAGCATCATGAATTCCACGCAGATGAGCACCGGCATCTCTGGTGCAGTTCCCGGCAACTTCGTTACTACCGAGGCGGCAGCTTGGACCACAGCGATGGGCAACGGCACGGCCGGGCCTAACGGCGGTGGGCCGATGTATAGCTACGGAGAGAGAGTGTTCATCGGCGTCATGTGGCTCCTTATCTCCATCCTGGGCATGACGGGAAACGGGATGGTCATCCTGGCTGTCGCCCTGTCCAGAAAGCTCCGGACCCCGACCAACGTCTTTGTGGTCAACCTGGCAGTGGCGGACTTTCTGTCCTGCTTCTGTCTGCCGTGGAGCGTGGCGGGACTGCTAAGCCTAGATGGGTTGCCGGGAGCTCAAGTACCCTGTATGATCACCGCCTTCATCAGCTTCGTCAGCTCCGGGGCGAGTCTCTACCACATGGCCAGTATCGCCCTTAACCGCGTGCTTCTTATCAAGAGGCCTATGACCCTCTACCAGTGGCTCTACACACCTACCAAAATCTCCTTCCTGGTTTCCTCGTCCTGGCTCGTGGCTATCTGTGTCATTCTCCTCCCTCCGCTGGCAGGTATCGGCGGTCTAGGCTACGATGAGCAAGAGTACACCTGTACCGATCAAGACTCCCATCCGGCGTCCAAGCTGTACGCGCTGATCCAGGTCGTCATGTTCTTCCCCGTCCCCATGCTCATCATCATCGTCTGCTACGCGGTGGTCTTCGCCCACGTCCGGAGTCATTTCATCGCTCAACGCAAGCGCCGCCCCTCCACCGTGCCGTCCAAGGATACCCCGAGCGGTCCTGTCTCCAGCAACTTCATCCCATCCGACAGCCCCGAGGAGGTCCAGGGGCCCGATACCATGGACAACCAGGTGCACGCGCGACTCAACCGCCAACAGATCCAGATAACCAAGAACCTTCTTATGATCGTGTTGGTGTACGTCGTGTGCATCACCCCGTACAGCATCATGCTGTTCACCGGTAGCGATCGCTACACGCTATACGGCGGTACCATCTTTCTTTGCAACACGTGGATCAACCCCATCGTCTACGCTACCAAGCATCCACAGCTCAAGGTGGTCCTGCGAATGATGCTGCGATGCCGTTGCAGCAAGATTCCAGAGCCCTCTAGGCTGGTGCGCAGGCTCTCCAGCAAGACCATCGCACTGAACCAAGTTAAGGTCAATAAGGCTTAAATTGAACTTGCATCATGAAGAACTACTTCGATTCTCAGTGATATAGACCTTAGTAAATTGATGAAACCAATAGATTTTATTACCGATAAGAAATGATAAAAATAATAGCGGTACTTAATCAGTGTACATCCAAACCAATACACAGAAGACATAAACATGCTATTACGGTTCAGGTTATCGTTCGTCATCATGACATGATAGATCTTTTCGGTCTGGTCCCACTTTGTAGAGCGACTTGTTGTTACAAATCTCTTGTCAAGTTGTTTGTTATTGCAGACACCTGTGAACTTATTTCATTTTAACAAGTGTCAAAGTCTATCCATGGTCTGGCAAAAAACTACACCATAATTTTTAACAAGTTTACATAATTTTATCCTGAACGATAGGACCATTTAATGTTGAATGTGGTACATATAGAGGTTCTTTAATGATACTAATTAGGACAATAGTTGTCCATCTTCAGTAGAGGACGAGTCGTGTTGAAATGGAAATATGCGACTAAAATTATTCTTTTTTAGATTGTTTGTAATGGAATAAATGTGACTGTTATATGTGTCTTATATTTGATTGTTTTATTTCACGAATACCTAGTGTTTATGCCAATTTCGTTTACAAATTGAAAGCTAATGTCTGATATGAATGGCTTTAAAATACTTCAAGTTATAGAAAGTTGCTTCTATTACTTATTACCTTTCCCCCAAAGCTTAGCAAATTGTTGCTTTGACTATTCCGTTGAAAATCATTTTATAAGGCTTTAGAATGTAACATAATTATTGCACATGTAAATAAGCAATTAAATCTAAACAATAAAGAACTGTGTACAATGTAAATACAATGTGTTATTAGTTGAAATATAAGACCAATTTACAGAATGAGTGTGGGGTTCGAAACATTAACACTTTAACAGTTGTTTGGTTTTCTAAAAGCACTTATTTAAAATTCCTGTTGAATGAAAACAATCTTAGGCCTTCACTGGAGTCTTCATTGATGTTATATTTGAAGAGATGAAGGATGCTATGCTCAAAATTACGTGAGAAGATTCTTTGAGGGAATCATTCTGGCGTGTACGCGATCGTTTTTACTGCTTTTGTTTTTCGCAATAATGTTGGTAATCAGGAATTATGAACATAGTGCTACAATAACGGGCCTCTATAAATGCTCATATCTTTATTAATAAAACATGATTTAAATTCAGCGTTCGTTTCTTATTACGCATCTTGGCGGCGGTTCGTTTGGTAACGTGTTTAGCGCCGAGGCTGCGCTGTTAGGTCCTGGGTGGAAGTCCTTCGACAACAGAAAGATTCCGAAACCAGATAAATATCACAGAGATCAAGATCGAAAATGGCTGCCTCTTGAAAAAAATTCATTTATGAGGCTATGCGTGGGCCAATTATTAGGTTATGAGCACGCCAATCCACCAAGAACCAACCGCGAGCAATTTAAATGTAAATAGCCCGATATCTTGGCTGGTAACCTTTCTATAAGCAACACTTACATACTGCTGTGCATTGCTACTTTTCCGTATAACGTTGCCACAATTGTCATAATCCTAAGTACAACAATTTGGTTGTATCTTTGAGTCAACCTATTTTGTAAGAGTTGAGGTGATTTACCACAAAGTTGCGCGGAATTTATTCTTCTATAGTTTCATAATTTTAAATTGTATAATTGTGTTGTCCTTTTTATCAAAGTACCGGTAACCAGTTTGATTTAAGTTTTGTATATATTAATAACTGTACAGTTTAACAAAGTCGGGCTTGCGGCAAGGGAAAACCTCAAAACAGTGTTAACAGAATCGGAAATGGAATTGAATTAATACTTAATTAATGCTTGCCATTGAGATTAAAACATTACGAATGTGATTATTAAGATAGAGCAGTTAATGAGTCATTCAATCTTGAAGTTCAGAATTCCGACAGCAATAGGAAACATGCGCGTACCTTAGCTAACCTTAGGAAACATTCCCAAAGTAATACCTTACGAGTTTCTTACGTGAAATCTTAGAATGGAGGGATGATACTTGACCCCAGCACAGCCGGAGAGGTAGAGTTTGCGCACGTTTTCAATCTTGGGCATATATTTTATTCAACAACTGTCGAGGTGTTGAATTGGCAATCGATAATCTATGCCAAAACACGCGGCAATTTCACCTTTACTTCACGTTAAAATTGAGGATGACACAATATTGCTTGTTTTCTCATCCGGATGCAAAGATCTGCCGGGGGGAGAAGTAGACTTGTGGTCTCTATCCTCCGGTCAAAGGGAGATATATAGCCCCTATATCTCTGCAGATGTGTCGCCAACGTACAATGAACCCCTCCCCCCAAAACTTGACGTTTCCCAGCAGATGAGCACCGGCTTAAATCCCAGGTGGGTAAACATCATCAGCCCATTTTGTGACAGACAACCCACTTTGCCGAATTTTTCTTGAGCAGATACACGGAGCCTCTTTTTTTTGGGGGGGGGGGAGGTTGAGTCGAAGGGCACTTTTGCCTGCAGATGAAGGGTACAACAAGTCGATGGCATGAACCTAACAAGCCTGCAGGAGGTATAGGCCTTGAGTCAACAAGTCAAGGAAATGCAGATGGCAAGGGTCACGGTCCTGCTAGTCTTTCCTGCTAGACTTGCACTGAGGCGTTTTAATTAGTTTCTCACCTGACTGCTTATGTTGCTATTAATAACCAGGGACTTCAAGGACTTTATCTTTCGAGAACGGTACTTAACAACGATAGCCTTGAGAGTCACATTTGCTATTGGAGGCCATTTTTTCAACATTCATTTGGAAGCATTGTTATTGGTTTCCTGTATCATTGCATTTGTCATAAGATACTGGAAATACAATAAAACGAAAAGGAGATAAAAGTAAACCAGCAAATATTGAGAGGAAACCCTTATTGTGTTGTTGGCAAAGATTTTCAGAATATTCGAGGAAATTTATTTGAATATCCAGGGCAGCAACAATGTCGTTGGGGCGCCATATAGTACGATCGTAAGAATCATTTCACTTCGTTCACATATTGGCCTAGTCGTGTCTCTCCCTTAAATAACTTTTAGTCTAGACCCTACACCTGTTGCATATGCTTACATTAATAAAGTTAAGGAAATTTATGTTATCAAACCACGGGGGGGGGATCGGGGAACCCCCCCCAGCCAAAAAATTGTTTTGAAGAAAGAAAGGCGATTTCTTTGGTCTATTTCCTTCCAAACCGTTACATGACAAACTTTCAAAAGTTTGTGGCCCCCCCGAAAACAAGATTGGCCCTCCCGAAAATTATGTTTTAGCTCTGTTATTGCGCACTACCTAAACGACGGAGACTCTAGCACACCACGAGCAGTTTGTGTTTGTCCGTATATGTAGCATTGCCAAAAACATGTTCATGTCTTGTATTGTCCTATGTTATAATATGTATGTCTGTCAATAGGTTAGGGTACAAAAGCAAATCTGTGCTTCACCCTTTAACTAAATGTTGTTCTTTAACGTGTTAATGTATGTTAATAAAGGTTGCGATGGTAACATTTCGTGAAATACATGCACTGACCTGTAGCAGGCCTCTTCATATAGAGAAATATGTGAATGATCTTTACCCGTCAGCCCTCCTCTGATAAACAGGCCAAAGGAAATATCCCTGGATATGCCATTTATTTTCCAAAGTGGTGCGGTGTCAGGTTGTGATTTGTGATAACCTCTACTTTCCACACTTCCTGATAATGTTCTCATGGTGGGACGTGAGGTCTCCAATATAGGCCAGAGAAGTTCCAGTCCTCATCCGTGTCACTTTCCGGAGCCTTATCGTAGAAACACCGCGATGGGACCTTCAAAACAAACAGTGTCAGTAAAGTATAAACCACACAGAGGTTTCTCCACAATATTCCTGTTGTCTGGAAAAACTTGTAAGTTTTGAAAGGCCTTGTTCAGTTGATGTTTTCGAAACGGCTCACCGGAAACAAGATAATGGGTTGTTCGCACTGGACGGAGAACGAACCAGCAACCTGGCATTTACTGGCACAGATGTCAGACCATTACGGTTTGTCGAGTGGTCGACAGGCGGACTTAAATACGGTTCCCAGTCTGCCACAAACCTTTATGAACTGGAATCAAAACAAAGCAAAGAAAACAAAACCCGAAAACGAAACACAACACTAACAATACAAAACGAAATCCCCAAACACTAAAAACCAAAAAACCAGGAAATTAAGAAAAGAGCAAACAAAATAGTCTTAACCATGATAAACAAAACACGATGAGTATGTATTATGGGCCTGTCACACTATACATCTAAACACAAGACTCCCCCGCAAAGAAAACTACGAAGAATAACATAAAAAAACTAGGAATAGAACAAACAAAATATTCAAATCCAGATAAAATAATAGACAGAATAATTCATTTTGGATTTTTGCCCTGCCCGACGTGTATTTCAACACTGTGAACTCAGTGTTTGCCTCCGGAGGCTTGTGAAAAAAAGACAAGTGTACTCGGTATAACTCTAACCTACGACCTCCTGCGTACCAGTGCGGACGCAAATTCATCCTTCGAAACAGAATAAATGATACCTGTATGAAGTGGGAGTTCATCAGAGTGGCTACTTTGCAGCAAACATGAAAAGCTGGTGTCTACATGCAGGAGACACTGATCTTTACGTATGCGGTGATGTTCAGACGTGCGGCCATGCTCTGAGAGGGCTTGACATGATGGGGCCTCCTTGCCCACTCACTGAAATGGACAACCCCCTATTGGTGACTTACCTCTCTCTCAATTCTGAACGCTGTAGACGACATTACGAAATAATAATCATAATAAAAGAACATCTTGAAAAAAGTCAAAATTTATTTTTTTCTCCACCAGACAGGTCTCGGTACATTTTACGTCCAACCGAAATTTCCTTGAAAAAAATCACTGTATTTGTCATGTACAACGCAATTCTCAGACCTACTGCACAATCATAATTTCTGAACTTCCGAACTGTATTTATTTACTCTGCACTGATCTACATGTATATATCCATTATGAAATTTTCAGAGAAAATGTACGGAACGACAGTCAATACACACCTTTTGATGAGCAC